TCTTTTTCTATGCCAATGTCTTCAAGAGTTCTACCTAATTTATCTTCCAGAAAGTTTAGTGTTTCTGTCTTAATATTTAGATCTTTAATCTACTTTGATCTTAGTTTAGTGCATGGTGATAGGTATGGGTCTAGTTTTAATCTTTGGCAGGTTGAAATCAAGTTTTTCCAACATCATTTATTAAGTAGGCTATCTTTCCTCCAATGAGAGTGGTTGGCTCCTTTGTCAAAGAAATACTGATATTTAAAAGGGCTTTATATTTTTATAGCTGGCCATCTAGTAAATGTTATTAAATATTTTTACTATATCTAACAGATTTTCAGTAGATTTTTCTTGAGGCTTTATTTGACAGTGCAGATCTCTTTGAAACTGGCACTGTGAGGAGGAAACACAATGATTAATGAATCTTGCTTCCCTCATGGAGCTGTGTTCTAATGGGGGATGCAGTAACAGGTAATGATGAGAGAAATGGCCATCTAGGGTTAGTTGGAGGGCCATGGCAATAGCTTATATGTCATGTAAATTGTTAATAGCCTGTACATACAGAAGAACTTAGCTAACTGGAGCCTAGAATATTTTAAAAAGTAATTCTTGGATAACAAACTTTTTTTTGATAGTAACTGAGCTATTTAGATTTTTTTAAACTTGTGTTAATTTTTTACTACTTATATTTTTAAGTTATACATTGGAAAAATTATATTGTTATATATTTTGAGGTAATTATATATGTTATCATGTGATGTGATTTTAAATACAATTTTCAAAATCTTTTCTTCAAGGCTACATGGCTTAACATAAGGTAATTATTATTATTTTTTTTTCCAGTACCGGCAATTGAACTCAGGACCTTGCACTTGTGAGGCAAGCATAGTGCCACTGAACTAAATTCCCAGCCCAGCATAAGGTAATTATTGTATTCCTTTATAATTAAAAATATCTTCCAAAAATTCTTTGTAAATTCTCCTTGTACTTTATATTTAATTTTTGTAATGGTCCAATTTTTATAGTTATTTATTCTCTACTGTGTTCTTTAGTCTAAATCATTTATATTCTGCCTTAATATTTGTAATATCTGTCTTTTTATAGTCCTGAGATAGATTTCATATTTTTTCTAACATCGTGGATTTGTGCTCATTGTTATATTTAATACAGAAACCACATAAAGTTATGAAAGTTCCCCAAATTGACCACTTCGGATGAGTCTTTTAAATGCTCCTGTTTAGGTTTTATAGTTTTTGCAAAAGAATGAACTAACAACCTGAAAATCTTTCCCATTACAAAGATGTGTAGATGTTATTTATACTATGATATAATTTAACTATTTAGCAGAATCTTCTGAAATAATAATAATAAAGGAAGTTGTCAAGGACCAGAAAAAAAGTCATAGTATTTTAAGTACAAGAATTAACATGGCAATTGCCAGGGGTAGACTGGGAGTTGTAGGGAAGGAATTGTCAGTTTCATTAATTTAGAAAGTTGTGATTAATATCCAAAGAGGAAAAAGAAATTGTGCCTTGGACTCAAAATAGGTAGTGTTGAAAATGAAACATTGTAAATCTAGAATGGCTGAGGGGATATATTAATAATTAAAGGCTAGATTAAACACATACCAAAATCCACTCTCCAGCAAAATGTATCCCTGCAGTCACATGTGGCTATCGAGCTCATGAACTATGATTAGTACAAGTTTAGATATTCTCCAAGGTTAAAATACTCTATGTATTAAATTTTTAAAAATACAAAAAGATAAGATGCTTCATTAATTTTTATACTGATTACATATCAAATCCTTTTGATACATTAGTAGTAAAATGTTATTACTAAATTGATTTTAAGAGTTTCTTTTTACTTTTTAAATATAGGTACTAGAAATTTAAAATGATATATGTGGCTCACTTTTGTAGTTCACATTTTATTTCTTTTGGGTAGCATGATCTAGCAGACAAGTCTTGGCCTGGGATAGAGATGGGGCAAATATTTACTTAAGAATTTATAAAAGGATCTGCTCTCATATGAAGACTTGTCCTACACTAATAACACTTGATGGAGGTATTGTACATCAAATCAAGTGATCCTGAATTCCCACTGTAAAGTCCAGTGAATAATGTCCCACAATTTAAAATTATAGAATATGTGGTGAAAAACTTTCCTTGAGTTAGTAAGGTTGAGCAGACCCTACAAACAGTGAGATTAGCCAATGTGATAGATATGATAAAATACACTATTTAGATATGATTGAAAACTAATTGGAAGCATCTGAGCTTCCCTGTCCAGTGAAATTTAAGGGAATTTGGCCTAAGCTCTGTGTTCAACATTCTTTTTTAAAAAATTAGCTTTATTGGTACTCTATTGATATACATAATAATCACATTCACCATAGGGAATTTGGACTTGTACATAATATATCTGGATTCTTTTCTTGACCATTCCCTTCATTTCCCTTCCCTTCAAATCTTCTTCCTCTCCTTGTTTACAAAAGCTTTGTTCCTTTTCTCTCCCTCCCTTGTTCCTCTTCCTATTTGAACATTTTATTCCTACTCCCCAATGTCTGTTTTTCATTCTGGTCCTTATTTGCCCTTTGGGTTTCTCACACAAGAGAAACAATGCAATATTTAAACATTTGTGTTCAAATTAGTTCACTTAAGGCAGGGGATTTAGCTCAATGGCACTGTGCCTGCCTTGCAAGTACAAGGTCCTGAGTTTGAACCCTAGTACCAAAAACAAAACAAAACAAAACAAAAACCCACACAAAAAAACTAAATTAGTTCATTTAAAAGTATGGTCTCAAGGTGCATCCATTTACCTAAAATATCTCAAGTTTATCCTTCTTTATGGCAGACCACATTTTATTTATTCATTTAGCCATGGATGGGCATCTAGCTATTACAAATTGTACTTCTATAAACATGGGTGTGCATATGGTGTGGTGTGATGCTTTTAACTCAGGAAGATACCAAGAAGAGTCAAGTAGAACCCTAGTTTTAATTTTTGGGGAATCTCTGTACTGATTTTCATATTAACTGAATCAACTTACACTCCCACCAACATTGGAGAAGGGTTCCTTTTTTCCTCATAGCCTGGCCAGCATTTGTTATTGATTAATTTTGTGATGATAGCTATTTATTCTGGAGTGTGGTGGAATCTCAGTGTTATTTTAATTTATATTTCTCAAATGGCCAGTGATGAACATTTTTTCATATATTTATTTGCTGTTTGTACTTTTTCATCTGAGAAATGTCTATTCACTACAGATTCCCATTTTTGGGTTGGATCTTTAGATTTAGGGGTATGATTTTTTTTAATTCTTTATATATTTTAGATATTAGCCCTTTGTCTGAGGAATAGCTGGTAAAATTTTGTTTTCCCATTCTGTAGGTTGTCTCTTCACTTTGTTGGTGGTTTCTTTTGCTCTGCAAAAGGTTTTTAATATGATGAGATGCCAGTTGTTGATTCTTTGTAATATTTACTGTGTTATTAGGGTTTTGTTCATAAAGTCTTTACCTGTGTCTTCAAGAGTTTTATCTGTTCTCTCTTCCAGTAGATTAAGTGTTTATGTTTTAATATTTAGATCTTTGATCCATTTCTGTTTTAGTTTAGTTCAAGGTGAGAGATATGGGTCTAGGTTTAATCTTCAGCATGTGGAAAGCCAGTTTTCCCAGCACCATTTATTAAAGAGGCTAACTTTCTTGCAGTGAAGGTGTTTGGCCCCTTTGTCAAAGAGAAGGTGGCTAAGTGTGTTTAGAGTTGTTTCTACATCTTCTGTTCTGTTCCATTGATTTTTGAGTCTTTTTTTTTTTTCCCCCAGTACCATGCTGTTTTTATCATGGTACCTTGGTAGTATAAATTCAAGTCAGGGATTGCGATGCCCTCTGCCTTGCCTTTTAATAAAAATATTATTAACTTTATTGGTACATTTTAGGTGTACAACATAATGACATTCATCATTGGAAATTTATACTTTTACATAATCTCTTGGTTCTTGTTTTTTCCCTTTCCCCCTGCCCTCCCTTAAACCCCTCCATCCCTCCCTATTTACAAAGACTTTTGTTTCCATTTTTTCATTTTCTCATATTAATTCCATTCCTTTCTTTCCTTTCCCCT